TTACTGTTCTAATACAATGTACCACTTGAACATCGACACAGAGGAATGTCAAGTGTGATGAAGAATGCATTACTTATATTTTCATTCAGAATCTCTAGGCCAGATCCCTTCATAAGCATTTCAGTTAGCATTTAGCCATTTAAAGAAAGTCTTACTCACTTCTTCAGCTCGGAGACCACACAGCTTGTTTCCAGATAGTAGTTTGTTCTTCAGGCTTTTATTCTGATTAAAGAATAAGAAAGAAACTACTCAGACCATAGTTGTAAATTGCCCATTTTGATACTTAAAGCTGAATTCCAGCCATATGTAAAAACATCAGTGTACACAGTTAAGAATTTGTTAAAAATATATATAAATATAGTTTATGTGCAATTTATGTAACTATCCCACTGTCAAAGTTTGTTAAGGATGCCAGAAGATGCAAGCAGTGCCAGGTTCATCTCCAGCCCTATTCACTTACGTGGCTGGGAATCCCTGATTATCTAAGCAAGGGTGAAAACCCTACACAAATGTGGTCATGGCCATAAACAAAACATGTCCATGTCCACATCCCTGACCCCCTGTATATACACCTAAGGGCAGGTTGGGATATTAACAGTTTTTTTTTCTTAACAAAAGGCAGGTTATGTTCATTGCAGGGGTGGACTGACAACTCAAGGGGCCCCCGGGCAATAGGGGATCATGGGGCCCCTGTGTCTTTGCCCAAACTCAAAAAAGCCTATGAAAAAGGTACCAGGGGCATCTCAAGGGGCCCCCTACTGACCCCAGGCCTTGGGCAGTGCCCGATTTTCCAAATGGTCAGTCTGCCCCTGGTTCATTGTGATTGACACTTGATTTAAAACACTGGATCTTTTTTTTTTTTTTTAATAAAGGGCTTAAAGGTCTTATCTTCATGCCCAAGGGTAAAACAAATCTTAATGCCTAAGCACAATTTTGAAACTTTGACATGTGTTACAAAACCATACATATCATCACAACTATTTTGTGCATCCAGGTGGATTATACCTTGTTTTTTTTCAGGACAAATTGGGCTTTCATTTGGTGGTAAATGGTAATGGATATCTCCTGATTTTATTTTTAATACCAAAGGAAAATATAACTGTATATTTCTTGCTACTACCATAACCTACCACCAAAGAACAACCCAAAATGATTTTTCCTGCTTTTGACGATCGCAACGATACCACACGTGTGTATGTTAGTTGTTGTTTGTACCCGTAATACAGCCCAGAAACCATAGTGAGCAATTTGCTTTTTTTTTTTTAAATCTGCCACTCACTGACACTGATAGTAATTTAAAAATAACAAAAAAAACCTGACCCCCCAAAAAAAACTGATCCTGACCTTTGATCCTGACCAAAACACTAACTCTGGCACAGACCTAGATCAAAACTTGATCTATTTATTTTTGTTTATTTTTATATTATTTTTTTTTAATTCACTCATTTATATTTCTTTATTTTATGTATTTTTTTTTTTTTTTTTTTTTTACACACATTTTTTTTTCTCTCTGAAAGGACAGAGAGAAAGCAATGGAGGTGGGCTTCACAATGACATATTAACATACATTTTTGGATAGCATTTAGAGAACTATAGTTGAATTTAGGGCCCATCCACACGGTCCAGTTCACACGTTGATGTGCGTTGTATCAACCCATTTATTTGAATAGTACCACAAAGGACTAAAAATGAAGGCTGCCCTGAAGACATGGAAGAAATGGCACATGGCAGGGAGGGCAAGAAGGCAGGAAAAGAATTAGGAATGGGTGGGGAATGGATTTAGAATATGACATAAGTCGACCATAAGGAGCAGGGAGGAAGTGGTTATAACTTAGTAAGACCTCAAGGAGGAATAGACAGTCAGGTGAGCATCTGGCCCGCCTGCCCACCGCCTTGGTGTGGATATAGCTATGATTAGGAGTTCATATGTTTGGGGGAATTTAGACATGGGAAGAAGATGAGGGACTTACGGGATATGTTTTAATTTTTGTCATAGCATTGAGGCGTCCAAAAGGGTGCCAAAAAAAGTAAAAATGTTGGCAATGTTTGGATGGGTGGTTTAACCTTAATGGTCACAAATGTGTATGATTTTTGTGGTGTTCATAAAGGAAGTAATTACTAAAGTTTATTCCAGGTGAATAATGGTGTAAAGTTACTGGTGTGGAGCCACCAAGACGGTTATGAATGGCTCGTGGCTAGTATGGGTTTGCAATGGAACATGACATTGGGTGGCTTTGTCAAGGACTTGGCTTTATGGTTGTATTAGAATTCATTTATGTTTTGAAGAACTGATGTCTAAATTATGTTGTTGTTTACCTTTATATTTAATAAAAGCTATGGCCATAACATTCAAATGAAAATATGTGTCACATCATATTTATGATGTGTAATGTGTTTGGTTTTTATTTTCAATATCACCCTGCCTTCTGAGCCCTACCCAGGTCACGCATGCAGCATTTTTGGCAGTGCATATTTTCATTGTTATGAATTGCACAACACTGCATTACAAGTGCACAAAAAAAGTACATTGAAGTGTTATTCAGATTGAATTCTGAATATAACTTCAATGTACTGCATCACACCAATGTATGTAATATGCATTACCACACTGAAATGGGAGCAGGCCCCTAAAGTAGGAATATTCCTCTTTCGAGAAAGAAAATACGATCAAATAAATGGATGTAGTTATTCCAAACTAGTAATGTTACAGTATAATAACACTTTAAGTTGAGTTTAAAATTAAAATGCCCGCTAGTGACTGTTTTTTTTAAGTCAAGGAATTATTTAAAAATGTTTACCACTCCCACTTCAAAGAAATTGCACTTAGGATGAACATTAGCTAGTGTTCAGCACAACAAAATATTCCATTTGTATAGCAATTCAGAATTCAAGGATCTGGAAAAGTGTTTATTATACAAGGTGCTTATCACCAAATCACAGAGTATTAAAAGAGCAGTTTTAAAAGGCATTGAATAGTCCAGTGCAGCCTCTACAATATAGATGTTCATCTATGTCTTGTTTCTAAGCAGAACATCTGGTACTCCGTGAGAAAGAACAAAGAGCCATCCTGTGCTGAAGGAGCATTCAAGTTAACGTGGCGTAGCTTTCAAACACTTGTACAGTAAATGTCAGAAATACTGTTTTGTAACATATGAACCATTAATTAAAAAAATGACAAGGAAACTAAAAAAAAAAAACCATGCAAACCAGATGCAAATTTTTTACATTAAATTTTTGTATCTTTCCCTGACTGCACATCCATATCTGCCCTGCTACCAACTTTCCTCTCCACACCTTCCATCTAGAGTTATCCTGACAAAATCCAGTGAGCTCTTGACTTTAATGTGTTACTAAAGCCAGGACCCTGCAGTCACTATATCTGGCCTCCCAGGACCCTGAATTCACTATATCTGGTCTCCCACAGTACACAGAACATGGAAATGCAATTATGTTAGTAAATATAAACTGCTAAATACCTTTTCTCATCAGAAGTCTTGTGATCTCTATTAGTGTCTAGCGGAGCACTGGTTAAAGCTTATAGGAGGAGTTTTCATTCTGCTCTGAGTGTCCTATGAGGCTGCAATAGCCCTGACTTTCTGTCTGGACGGCACTGATTGGCCCAATGCCGATCACATGCACCCTCCCAAAGAAAAAAAAACTCTCTAGCAGTACACACCAAACTAAACATTTACAGAGTGTTTCCTAGAGCTTTGTACTATCAGCAGATGGTTTGGGGACAGAAGAAGAAGGGGAGGATCAGAGAAGACAGCATCAAACGGCCTTTTTACACAATGCGGAGGATTAACCCCATAGGTTCCACAGTGAGTATAACAAGCATTCTTTACTGCATATTCAGAGTGATTTTACTGTTGTTGGTTTAGTAACACTTTAATCTCCTTAGCGGTATTCCCGAGTGTAGCTCGGGGTAAAATGTCAGTACCAAAAGTGGTAACCCTGAGCTACACTCGGGCTTACCATGCGGCGTTGCTCAGGGAGTCCCTGCAGCACTTACCTTGTCCTTCGCTCCCGCGATGCGTCCCCTGCAGCGTCCCCGGCCATCTCCTCCGGCCGATGCCGGCATCCGGCTTCCGTGTTCCGGTCCCTGTGACGTCGGGACGTACGGGCACCGGAACTGGCGGCAAATTTGAAATTTTTAAAAAATGTAATTTTTTTTAAAAATGACTATTACATAGTAAAACATTGCTGTTTCAATGCATTTCACATAGATTTTGTCCCTACTGCTTTGTCCTGTGCCCTGCCTGCATTTTGACTGTTCTTTCTACCTGAAAACTTAGAAAAGTCCATGGCGTCCAAAAAGCGTCTCTTTAGGTCAAAAGTGGTTTTAGACCAGCTAGAGAATAGCGATAGTAAATTAGAACCACTTGCAGAATTGAGTGATAATGATTCGTGGGGAATTTTGTCATCAGACACTGAAAAACGATTTTTGCGACTTTGCTCAGCGATGTGCGAATTTGCCTCTGTATTTCAAATTTCAGTGTTTTTTGGTTTGATTATATTATTGAATTAAATTTATTATTATTATATTATTATTTTTTATGATTATTTAATAAATTATAATTTATGATTTCGTGTTTCAAATGTTATCATACCTGGGATGTTTAATAGACTCTTGTTCAGACAGATTTCAGTGAGTTATTCCTAAAAATTACAGCCTACAATAAAAAACTACATATTTCCATGCAAAAAAAGGGTACAAAAAAAATCGGAAATAATCAGACCGCCAAGGAGGTTAAAAGGACCCTCCCCCCATCCCATTCCTACTCTATAAATCTGTATAGCTAAATAGGGAGAAAATAAACAACCATACTTAGCTATATGCTTTTTCTTCTTACTGATTTTTTTCCTGTCTCTGTGCTGTCTGGGTCCCCATTCCATGCTGCCATTTTAAAATGTCTCTGGTACTGTGCATGTGCAAGATGAAGTGCATGACGTCATGAGTGCACCGTACATTACCAGCATCTGTTAGGGAAAGAAAATCCTTCCCCAAGATCTCACGAGATCTCAGGGAGAAGTTTTATTTTTGGTCTCAGCAAATGAATGTAATTTTGTATTACACACAAGCATGAGAAGAAGAGCATGACATCATGTGATCAGGGGCGGACTGACAATTCATGGGGCCCCCGGGCAATAGGGGATCATGGGGCCCCTGTGTCCTTGCCCAAACTCAAAAAGCCTATGAAAAAGGTACCAGGGGCATCTCATGGGGCCCCCTACTGACCCCAAGCCCTCGGGCAGTGCTCGAGGTTCCAAATGGTCAGTCCGCCCCTGCATGTGATTAATTTTGCGCATGTGCTGCATGAAAATATTTCAGGATCTAAAAGTTTAGATATGGGATTTGCCAGAAGGCAAAGGTGATGTTGCTCTGGCCAGGCCTATGTCACCCATTTCTTAAGGGAAACCAGGAAGTTCAAGAGAAAAAAGGTAAGCAGAGCAAAAAAAGAAAATTTGAATGTACAGAGATTTCATATTAACATTCAGAGATGCATGCTGATGTGAAGGTTAGGAAAAGGGAGACCATTTTTGATTTATTGCCACATAACACCCAACTGTGAACCCCTGGCATGTATATTTTGCCTTTTTTATACACTTTAGCCTGGTATTGGACTATAGAAACATGGCGAGAGACCCATTTCCCTCTTTTCAATCAGTTTACTTTCACTTTCTGCTGTTAGGCTGAATGTTACACTATCCCCTCCAATCATCAGAGGGAGAACTATAGCCAGAAAAGCCTATGGAATCCTATGCAGAGTGTTGAGGATCATGGGATTTGAAATCCAGGAAGCAAGCCATATTGTGGAACTTATGAACCCTTTGTAATATACGGCCCTAGAGACACTGGGGCAAGGTGGATTTTTTCAGTTTTTGCAACTGTTTTTCTTTCTACCTTTTGTTTTTTTTACAATTTTTTTAATATACTGTGACCAGAGCAAAGCAGTGTTACCAAAGTGACACTGTACTACTCTAAAAAGGTGATCAGGATTTTTCTTTTCTACGCTATAATTGCTTATAACAGTGATGAACACTGTTATAAGCAATCATTTTTATGCATGACATTCATACATAGCCAATATGTAATTTTGTGGGAGCTGTGAAAGGCCACAGGTATCACATGGTACAGATGGGATGTGATTAACCCTGTCTGTACCATGTGATCACTGTGACCAATCATAGTGGGGCAGTCTGTTAGTGGTGACACTCTATGTGTCAGTGCTGGCTGATTTAGCTGGAGGTGAGACATTTTCGACCTACAGTTTTCCCCTAATTTCTACTGCAGGATTTACTCACAGTAGTTTAGTGTTGCTCACAAAGGACTGAAAAAAATGAACATAAGTTTTTGGCTGGTTTTTGCTGTTGAATCTCTTGACTTGCCACCCTAAGTACAGGCCCACAAGTGCTGTATTAATGATTGTACTGTATTCACCCCCATTCACTCCTGTGAAATGTAACTCATTTTTTGGTGAGCAGCAGCATAGGGCAGCACGTTTACTACATGTCACAGAAATGCCAAAGTAGCTCCTGCACCTTTTTTTTTTTTTTGCAGTGAACCTTCGAAATACACATTTTGGAGTGTTTTGTTGTGCAACAAAATGCATGCCTGCTACTCGCATTTGTATGAGGTGCCTTTACGAATTATTGTCTTTAGGAAAGTGCTGTATAAGTAGAGTGCTTATTATATGCATTAAGACCCCATTCATACCTTGACGTTCAGGGAATGCACACAGAAACGCATGTATCTGCACACGTCTCCGGAATGGCAAGCCATGACTGGGGTCTTAATGTATGTGATAAACACTCCACTTATTTAGCACTGTCTTAAAGACAACATCACAAAAGGGTAACAATATTTTGCCAAACCGAACAATGTGTGAAGCCACAAATCAATATATTCAACTGCAGCAGTAATATAATATATGAAAGTAAACACAATAAAGAAAACAGATGGTGATCTATGAATTAATGTTTAGTTTACTTGTATTTGTTTTAATTGCAATTCAATAGCAATTACACACACAAGAAAAACAGAATGGGAACATCTGCTTTTCTATTGCTAAATGGTCTTGTTACTTTTAATCCAGGAGGTAAAATAAAATTCTTACATAATCAGTTTTAAATTCATTTTTGATACTTGTAATACATACCAATGAAGCATAATTGTATTTGGATTTTGTGAAGCATTCAGAAACACTGTACCTTCATGCAGGATTGTGTAAAATGTAGATTACAAGCTGAATTTGCTAATACAATGGAGACGTGTTCTTTCATTCAGCACCCAAGTATGTTTAATTGTACTACCTTGAGATACTCTGCCTAGATATAGCATGCCAAGGCTGTTGGTTAGGGTGGAAGAGTCCTGCTTTTTAAAGAATGTCCTATCATCTGACAATGTCCGATCCAAGTAATGTCATCTTCAGGCCTCAAGCAAAGAATGGAGAGAAGTGTCCTGTCTAGAGGACATATACAGTATGTATAGTAGGACTATATGATGGCACCAGTCAGGGGTGGACTGACAACTCATGGGGCCCCCAGGCAATAGGGGATCATGGGGCCCCTGTGTCCTTGCCCAAACTCAAAAAAGCCTATGAAAAAGGTACCAGGGGCATCTCATGGGGCCCCCTACTGACCCCGGGCCCTCGGGCAGTGCCCGAGTTTCCAAATGGTTAGTCTGCCCCTGGCACCAGTAGAGGGACCAGTTTGTCCAGCACCCAGGGCAAGGATGTGGAACTACACCTCCACTGCTATTGCATGACATTGAATGGGTGTACCACTTTGCTTCAATTCTCTGCCCCCTTGTTCCAGCTTCCCATGATTAGCATGGAGTGTGCTTTGCACACACAGGGCCAATTGCAGGCTTTCTAGCAGCTAGATGGAAGTTGCACATGCACAGCATGAACCATCAAGCCTTGGCCCACTAGCTGGCAACCAATTACCTGGTGTGTGTGGTTAAGGGGCACCTGCTACTACTGCGGCCAGAGCAGCTGCCCCTCCTGCCCACCCCTTGTCCATGTCCTGGATGGCACTCTTGAAGGGATAGGAAACACATAGGAAAACCATTATATGTGACAGATCAGAAGCAGATACAGTAGCAGGTAAAAAAGTTCAAATGCAATGATTGTGCAGAAAGTTCAGTAAGCAAGAGTCTTCTTCGAGCAGGACTTTAAATAGAACAGGTTGGCTGGTACTTGTGGTACACCGTGCAGATGTCGGTGGAACAGCAAGATACTGGTGTATAGCAAGAGCAGGCCAAGACAGCCAAGTTGTAGTGGTGAGTCTGGTAACAGTGAAGGGTAAGGCAAAAGAGTTGTCTAAACAAGCTGGGTCACACACGTAGATCAATGTTCAAACGGTATCAGCAGTGAGGAAGAGCAGGGTCAGAACAAGCCGGGTCACACACAAGTAAATCAGAGGAGGTATCAGCTGGGTCAAGCAGGAGCAGACAAAGGTAGCTATACTCTCACTAGCAGAAAATAAAAACAGAAAGGAGTGTAGGATCCAATTAAAAATACTATGTATCTTTATTGGATGAATGCAATGCAGTTACATCACCCAGCCAGTTGTCAGCGTGAAACCCAGGCAGCACAGTCCAGGCAGAGAGCATGGTGTATAGACCCATCAATGCCGAGTGGAACTCACTGAATGAAACCCAAGACAGCGTTCTACGCTATTAAAGAGATTTCAAATAGAGGTACACCCTCGAAACGCGTCACTGCCCCCTCCTTTTTCTGTTCACGTACCATACTGACAAGAAGCTTGCTTTCACAGCGAGGAACACTGTCTTGGGTTTTTTTTTTTATCTAGTGAGCTCCTGTCAGGGACCATCGCGACGCATGGGTCTACACATGCGTAGGCGTCTGTCAAGACGTGCAGGTAGCAGGGCACTAGGACCCAGGCGCACCCGTCATCTTGACAGTACTAGGCAGGCACTGGGACCTAGGCGGCGCCTGTCAGGTGCAGGGCGGGCTACTTAAACCAGCCCTGCACAGACGCTTGTTGCCGAATGGTCTTTTGTATCCTGTTGCCTGTGTTTGTGAGTACTCTGATCTGGATTGTCTGACCTTGTTGCCTTCTCCTGTCCTTACCCCTTGGCTTGCCTGACTCTGCTCCTGGATGTTCCCTTATAGATCTGATCTTTTGGTACTGACCCTGCGCGTGACCCGACTATCCTTTGCCTATCGTCTTGTACCTCACCGACCCGCTAGTTACCGTCCCGGCTTGTTTGACTCTGACTTTGCTCATCCGTCCATCCATCCCTCAGGGATCCCTGGGCTCCCTCACATCAGACTCTTAACCCGCTGGAGCCCTTGGCAGACTCCTCTACCTCTGGTAGAGATACCTAGCAGCTGTGACCTGGTCCCAGAGCGCTCCAAGTCCATCCCCACTATCAGAGGCCCTGGTGAACAAGTGCTCCAGTACTTAGACTCCGCACTCTGGGGAGGCTCTATCAGGGGACTGATAGAGGTACTGTCAGGCGGTCCATTACAGCTCCTGCTGGAATTGATGAGTCTACATACCGTGCTGTCTGCCTGAGCTGTGCTGCCCTGGTTACATGTGGACAACCGGCTGCTGTGATGAAAATCTGCATTGTTTGTATCCAATAAATATATACAGTTTTTCTAATTGGATCCCACGTTCCTGTCTGCTCTTATTTGCTGCCTGTTAGCTATGACCAGCCTGGGTCTATTAAAGAAGCCTGCAGGACCTGATCCAGAGCTTCCATGAGTTTCCTGAGCTGATGGCCATTAGCTCCCTCCTCTTTGATGGTTGGGACTATTAGCATTTACACCTGTGCTCTTGTAGTTGTACTGTACTGTATGTATATTGTGCTGTCACAAGAACTAATGGCGTTTTAAAGGTGAACAGTGATGAGCTGGCCAATCACAGTCACTTTTCAGACAAGGGCTGTCTCAGAGAAGTTTATCTAAGTCATGAAGGGACAACCTGAATCCTGGTATTGACAATATGCTTAATAGAAGGATGCATATGCTGCCTGAGACCTAAGGACTAGAAATTAATTAACCAATTCAATACCGGGCAATTTTACCCTTCCTGCCCAGGCCATTTTTCACATTTCAGCGCTCTCACACTTTGAATGACAATTGCGCGGTCATACAACACTGTACCCAAACTAAAATTTTATCATTTTCTTCACACAACTAGAGCTTTCTTTTGGTGGTATTTAATCACCACTGGGGTTTTTATTTTTTGCTAAATTAACAAAAAAAAACCAAAAATTTTGAAAAAAAAAAGTTTTTCTTTGTTTCTGTTATAAAAGTTTGCAAATAAATAATTGTTCTTCATAAATTTAGGCCAAGATGTATTCTGCTACATCTCTTTGGTGAAAATAACCCAAATTAGGATGTATTTTTTAGTTTGTAGGAAAGTTATAGAGTTCACAAACTATGGTATAGATCTGAATATTGATCAATCCTGAAGTACTGACAGCCAATCTAATTTCTTGAGGTCCAAGAATGTTAGAACAGTACAGATATCCCCCAAATGACCCCTTTTTTGCAAAGTAGACAGTCCGACGTACCTCATAAGAGGAATGGCGAGTTTTTTGAAGTTGTATTTTTTTTGTCATCATTTTTCGGAAAAAATTAAAAAAATTAGTTTCACTATTTTTTTTTTACATATTGTCACCAGTGCAGTACAGCATCATCATATAACTGGCATGGTGGTGATCAGGGATACTGACTGGTGACAGTATAAAAAATATATATATTTTTTTTTATATTTTTTTTTTTTATTAAAAAATTTTTATTTTTTTTTAAGATTTTTTTTTTTCATATTTCACTATGACCAAAGTAGTACAATGTTACCATAGTAACATTGTACTACTTTGGGGAAGTGATCAGTATTTTTTTTTTTTTTTTTTACACAATTGCTTATAGCAAAGAATTACTTTGCTATAAGCAAGCATTTACCTGAATGACATCGATTCATTCAGGTTTTTTTTTTTTTTTTTTTGTGCTTAGCTGTGATTTGGCCACAGCTAATCACATGACATGTGCATGTGATTAGCTGTGACCATTCACAGCTAGCCACTAGTATACAATGGATGTCATGAATGAAGCCATCCATTGTATACAACTGTCATGTGACCTGCTGTGATTGGTCACAGCAGGTCACATGGTACTGGCAACAGGGCCCGATACTCAGATCTGTCATCGGCCGTGTCCAAGGTACACGGCCGGTGACAGATCGCGCCGCTGCGCCGCTATGCAGGAGCGCAATCTGCGCATGTGCAGGAGGACGCCATATAAGCTGATGACATTTGCCGCCCGCCATTCGGCCATAGGGCGGGCGGCACAAATGGTTAAAGGCATTAATTTTCTACACCTTTAATGGAAACTTCCTCCCCCTCCATCCTAAAAGGACTGGTGTTTGGCTGTTTGAAGTGTAACAACTAGAGCCTGGTACACACAATGAGAATATCAAACGAAAGATTGCCTGTTTTTTTTTTTTTTGCTAGTCTCATATGGAAAGTTACGAAAATTCTCATAAGACAGAATAAAACTTTGGAAGTGGCGTAATGTATTTTCTTGTATTGTAGTGTGTTCTTTTGATTGTGAGCATAAGTGATAGGCAGAGCACCCCCCTGGTTGGTTCACGGTCAAACATTCGAAAATAATGAAAGTTCAACTGCGAACTTCAAACTAAATGCAAGTCTATGGGACTCGAACTTGTAAATTCAAAAGTGCACATTTTGAAGGCTTATATGCAAATTACTGGCCATAAAAGCATTATGGGACTCAGGTATTGTCCTGAGGGACATGAATCAAAAAAGTAAAGTTTTTTAAGGGGCAGTAATTTTTCAATACAAAAAAAATTAAAAAAGTCTTTAAATATCATGCTTGGAGGGTCCCTTTAACTAGTTGCCGACCGCAGATAGCCAAATGACGGCTGCACTGCGGCCGGCCAGTTCTGGGTGGACGTCATATGACGTCCTCCCAGAACGCGCTCTCCCCCAGGGGGCGCGCACACCCGGCGATCTCCGTGATCGCTGTGTCCTACGGACACAGCTGATCACGTGATGTGGTAAAAGGCCAATCACAGCAGCCTTTTACCACATGATCAGCGGTGTCCAATGACACGCTGATCAGAGGGAAATGCAAGTGCCGGTTCTCGGCTGCACTTTCCTCACGCTGTCAGATCGTGAGGAAAGTACTGCCGAGAACCGGCAGTTGTCAGAGCGAGGATCGGCACCGATCATCAGGGCACTGATGATCAGTGCCCTGATGATCGGTGCCCAGCAATGCCACCCACAAGTTCCGCCCAGCAGTGCGCCCACTAGCTCCACCCACCTGTGCCCAGCAGATCACCCACCTGTGCCCAGCAGTGCACCCACCTGTGCCCAGCAGTGCACCCACCCGTGCCACTCTGCAGTGTCACACACCTGTGCCCAGCAGTGCCACCTACCTGTGCCCAGCAGTGCCACCCACCTGTGCCCACCCACCTGTGCCCACCAGTGTCACCCACCTGTGCCCACCAGTGCCACCCACCTGTGCCCACCAGTGCCACCCACCAGTGCCGCCAGTCAGTGCCACCAGTCAGTGCCACCAGTCAGTGCCCAGCGGTTGTGCCAGACAGTGCCCAGCAGTGATGCCAGTCAGTGCCGTCTATCAGTACCCATCATCAGTGTCACCTCTCAGTGCCGCCTATCAGTGCTGCATA